ACCAGATAGCGCCGTGCGCGTCGAAAAGCCCCGTAAACCAATGACCACAGTGCAGACACCGGGTCCCTCTTGGCCAGCGGCCAGGCAACTGTCCCCAGAGGAGCCAGGAATAGAGGCAGACATCTGCTCAGCTGACGAGGCCAGCGCAGCACGAATATGCTAGAAACGGGGTGAGGAGGCCCTGGTCTGTGGCCCTACCCCTTACCGTGTGACCCATCCTCATGCTGCCCCCGAACAAACACTGCTCCCTGGGCAACCCCAGTGTCCTCATGCTGGCCCCCCACACACACACACTCTCTCTCTCATCCGGCCTTGCACCTCCCTACCCGAGTCAGCCTCCCTCCGCCCCCGTTCCTAGAAGCCCTGGCAGGTCATTATTTCTTTCTCCAAGTGAGGTGCCCCTTGGAGAAGCCCCTGCCCATATAGCTCTGTGTTCTGTACGGGTGGGGAAAAATGTTAGGATGGTGGATGGATGAATTGGTAGATTGATGGGTGGATGGTGAATTAATATATTGGTGTATGATGGATGGATGGATGATGGGTAGATGGGTTGGTAGATAGATGGATGATAGATGGATGGGTGGATGGATGGATGGATGGATTGGTGGGTGGATGGATGATGGATGGATGGTGGATGAATGGATTGGTGTGTGGGTGGATGGATGGATTGGTAGATAGATGGGTGGGTAAGTGAATGGATGAATAGATGAACAGCTGGCTATTCCAGTTGCCCGAGGAACGAATGAGTGAGTGAGTGAATAAATGAATGAATGGATGGAGGAAAGAATGGCTGGGCCATCAGTCGACTGGTGAGGAGCTCTGCACAAAAGCAGCAGCCACATGATTGAACAAGCTCCATGAAGCACCCACTATGTGCTGAGCACAGTCACAAATCCTCTTTTAACCTCATCACCAGCCTGAGGTGTGTGCCATTATTCATCCCATTTTACAGATGAGGAAACGGAGGCACCGGTGGGTTGAGAGACTTTCCCAAACTCAGGTGATTAATAAACGGGAGGTTTTGCGTGTGAACCCAGGCCACCTGGCTCCCGAGCCCACACTTAACAGCTCCGTCCCCACCACCCACGGGGATGCAACATTGCCCCCCCCCCCCATGTGAGCCATAGCGTGAGAAGCAACCGCCATGCCAGGCAAGGCAGACAGAAAGGGACAAACGGAGCAGAAGAAAGCGCGAGTCCACGGGCAGGCCATGAAGGGAGGGGCACCAGAAGCCAGCCCTCCGTGGCCGCATGGCCGCTGCCACACACGCGACAGAAACAGACTCCCTTGCGGTCCGACAGTACTCACTGGCAGCTCGATCCTTGTCTGCGCTAAGGGGGGGATGGGGGAGAAAATGCAGATAAATGGTTAAAAACCTTGAGGCCGACAGCTTTTCACTCTGACAAGGCGTGGCCCCGGCAAGGCTGACAAAGAAGCCAGCGTCTTTTATCCCTGGCAGCTTCGTACGGGGCAGGGCCCTGTGGACCGACAGCAAGAGAGCTCAGGCCCAGCCCTGGAGGTTTCCACACCCGCAGATGCCCGGATCTTGTTGTTTTGGGGGTCGCTCTTCTAGTTCAGGGGAGGGAAGTGTATTATACCGACAATAAAATGCACCAATCCTTCGTTTATAGCTTCCAGATGTTTACGCACTTGTGTGATCCCCACTCTCATCAAGGCATGGAACCGGCCCAGCACCCACAGCGTGCCCCCCGCCCCCCACACTGCCCCACAGACGGTCCCCTGCTTTGACTTCTCCGGCCAGTCCTTGCTTCTGCCTGTTCAGAAGTCCGGGTAAAGGAGGTCACACAGGAGGCCCGCCGCTGGCTTCTTTCACTCCATTTTTACTGTTTTGAATTTTTTTTCACTTTCTTGTTAAATTTCCCACCCTGCCCCTGTCCCCTAGAAGCAAGGCTCTGGGACCAAAGTAGGCCATGCTCTGGGGAGCCAAGGGCCCCCTCTGCAGGAAGCTGGGTTGGGGTTCGGGGGCAGCATAAAGGCAGAGGCGCCCCGTGGGGTCCAGGACACAGCTGGGAGTCAGAGGTGGCCGCGCGGTGTCTGAACTCACGGGGCAGAGAGGGGCAGTTTGAGGGTCATGAAGGGCGAAGGAACGTGGTGTCATGGGCTCCAACGGCACCTTCCCACTCTGGGTCCCCACATCATCCTACCCTGGAACTCAGGCCTGGCTGGGGCAGCTCAGAGCGGCTCACGGGAGGTCGCTTGGCCTCACTGGGTCGAGGGGACAGCCCCCCCCTCCCCAGAGGTGTCCTGGGGACGGTTAAATGGGCCACAGAACCTGCTGGCAGGAAGGGCCTTGGCCTCACTCTGCTCACAGGCTTGGGGCCTGGCCATCCCTTACCCTGCGGCGCTTGGAGCCCCCTCTACCCCCCCACCCCCACCCCACGCTCCACAGGAAACCAGGAACCACAGACTGGAGGGACCTCAGGATCGGGGGGTGCAGAGTGGAGGAAGGTCGCCCCTCCATGCATCATCTATGACCCTCACCACAGCCCCAACAGGGAGGAACGCATCCCCACTCTTCAGAGGAGCAAGAGGCTCAGAGAGGGGAGGCGACTAGCCCAGGGTCACACAGCTCACACGGCAGAGCCAGGGTGAAGGCCGGCGGAGCTGACTGCCAGGCCTCTGAGCCGAAGCGGACTGACCGCTCCCAGCCGGGCTTCGTAGGGGCCGTGGCCAGGCGCCCTGTGCAGAGCGGGCCTCCAGCACACGTTAACGGAAGAGGGAGCCGAGGACGCTTCTGCAAGCAGCCGCCTCTCAGGCCCACCCAGAGAGCCCCGCCAGGACTGGGGCGGCCCTGCCTCTAGGAGGGCAGAGCTCGCTGGGCCTCCTGCTCGCCGGACAGACAACAGACTGAGTCGGCTGAGCTGGGCACTCAGGACAGAGCTGCCGCCCTGCGTGCAGAAGGCGCTCCATAAGTGCTGGTGGTATGAGTGAGCGCTTGGTGCCCTTGCCTCCCTGCACCAGGAGGCCCGCAGGCTCTGCCATCGGTGTCAGGGTCACTCAGCGGCAGCACCTCCCACCCGTGGTGGCTTCCCGGGAGGGCCCGGGCCCCAGGGTCCTCCTGGCCCTGTGGCTGTGGGTGACCTCATGACTGAGGGCCAGGGCCCTCTGATCCCAGCTCTGCCTGCTGCTGCTGGTGGTAGAGAGGGTGAAGTGAGCTGCAGGAGGCGGGCATGTCTGGGAGGGCCAGCAAGATGGAGGGGCCCCGGGTGTCCCCACAGGCCTGAGCAGACAGCAGAGTGTGCGGGCCCCTCCAATCCCACCAAACCCCGGCCCCGGCCCTGCTCCCTCCCTCACCTGCACTCAGTGAGCTGCTCCACGGACTTCTCCGACTTCAGGCCGCTCTTGGTGCTCTGAGAAAGGAGAGGAGGGACTGTGTCACCCAGCGAATGCAGGGGCCAGGCCTGCTGCTCGGTCTAGAGAACAAAGCCGCCCGCGGAGCCCAGTCCTCCTCTGGGTGGCCTCCTGGCGGCCTCATCACTTGGTTCCCCTAACTGTCCTTCCCATGAGCCTTGAGACCCACAGGACTAGGACCAAGTCAGCCTCGTTCCCCAGGAACCCCCAGAGTCTCACCAGAGCCTGGTTCACAGAGGTCAGTAATGAATGAATGGTGAGTGGATGAATAAATAAATGACTGGATGGATGAATGGATGGATGAATGAATGGGTGGGTGGGTGGATGGGTGGATAGAAGGATGGATAAATGGATAAATGGATAGATGGATGGATGGGTCGATGAATGGATGGGTGGATGGGTGATGGATAGATGGATGGATGAATAGATGAATGGGTGGGTGGATGGGTGGATAGATGAATGGGTGGGTGGATGGGTGATGGATAGATGGATGGATGGATAGATGAATGACTGGATGTATGGATAGATGAATGGGTGGGTGGATGGGTGGATGAGTAGATGGGTGGATAAAAGGATGGATAGATGGATAGATGGACGGATGAATAGATGAATGGATGGGTGGATAGATAGATGGATAAATGGATAGGTGGATGGATGGGTCAATGAATGGATGAGTGGATGGATAAGTGAATGAGTAAAGAAATGGAGTCCCTCTGATTTATATAAGAAGTATAAACAAAAGCCATGAAACTGCTCAGTGGGTAAGTTTAAGTAACGGTTTTGAGAAGTAAGAATAATTCACCTGAGTTAGGCTGGGCTTGGCCTACTCTGTTGGGTCAAGTTAAAGGTGAGCCCCAGGGTAGGACGCCCACTACTCACTGGTACCCACAAGCTGGGATATAAGGGGAAGCAGGCGGGGCCCCAGCTGTGGTGCTGAGTGTGAGAGCAAGTACCCCTCGGGTGAGAAAACTGGGGTCATAGCTGTCGGCTAGGGAGTGAGAGACAGCACCCAGGACAGGCCGTGACTCAGGGTGGGACATGGCTGCCCTCTCTAACACCCAGGCAGGTCCCCACCTCCGGGTGGCCCCGCTGGGTCCCTGCTGCTCCCCTGGACTCTTGGCATCTCCCGCCCACAGCTCGAGCCCCGCTGTCCCGCAGGATCTCCCATTCTCACGGCTCCCGGAGCACACTGGGCTCGGCCCTGCCCCCTGCCGCATCCGCCATCCAGGGCGTGAATGTGGACCCAAGACGCTCACCCCGTGCGATGGAGCCCTAGCCCAGCCCTCACCTCCATGGTGATCACCTCCACCTGCACGTTGGGTGGGAGGGGCAGGTCGGCCTGGAAGCGCTTGGCCAGGGCCAGGAGGAGATGCAAAGTGGCCAGCAGGTCCTTGTTGAAGATAGCTGGGGGGAGGGACACAGGTCAGAGCGGGGCCACGATACCCGGGGCCACGGGGGGCCTCCTCATCCTCACAACAACCCTCTTCGACCAGTGAGACCTGAGTCCACCCCCGGGAAGCAGAGGCCTGGAGAGCTGCATTCAGACCTAACAACAGGCTCCCATCTCTGCGAACGCGGCCCAGGGCACAGCCGCGTGGGGCCGGGGATGGGACGGGGGATGGTCTCTGAAGCGCTGTCTACACCAGAAACCAGCACGTGTCCTGTCCTAGCGTCGGTCACTGGTTGGACAAAGTGTCAGGCTTAAGCTGACTATGACTTAAGTCCGGGCCAGCGTCCACTTATAAACACCAGCTGCTGGACGGGAGGCAGGAAGCAGAGCGGTGAAGGCAGCGGCGTGCGGCCGACCAGCACAAAGTGGGTTTGAAAACCGTTACATCATTGCCACCCAACCTCGTTACTTCCCTTCAGCCTCAGTTTTCTCATCTGGGAAGTGGGGAGGATGTAGAGCTTGGGCTGACGGGACGTTCACAGCAAACTGTTACCCAGGAGGGCGGACCGGCTGCTTTGCACACCGTCATTTCCTCCGAGCAGGCGCCGCAGACAAAATAGAAACAAGCTCATAGGCTGGGCCGCCGGGCCCCGGCGGGGAGATGGGCGCGTCACGGCACTTGGCTCTCAGTCAGCAGAGGCTGCGCTGTGGCCAGGACTGTGTGCATCGTCCTCGTGCGGGGCTTCCCTGCAGTGACACCTCGGGGACAGGAGTGCCTGGGGCTGTTTGTCCTCACTGACGGGCCTTTGTGCCCACTGTGCACCTGCCTGAGGCTTCTGCCGCCCTCCAAGCCCCCAGGTTGTGTCCAGACCCGAGGCGACCGAGCTGTGCCCCGTGTGTGAGGGAAGCCGTCCCCACGCAAAGGGACCCAGGCTCCGGGCCCCGCCCCGGACACCAGCCCGGCTGAGGCCCGCGTACCGTCCACGCTCCACTTGGGCTCTTCCGCCTGCAGGCAGCGGTTGGTGGCCTCCAGGACCACCTCGAGCTTGCGCCTCTGGCTCATGGCGGTCAAGGCGATCTCCTCCACCTCCAGCTTGGTCCCCGCCAGCTTCTCTGAGGGCAGGAGCGGGGGGGAGGGAGAAAGGAGGGGGTGACACCGTGTGGGCTCCTGCCGGGGACCCACGGCCAGCGCGCTTCCCCCAGGAGGCTGAGCCAGGCCAGCATTCAGGTAGTAAGAGTGCCTGCCCCTCGCCCCTCCGCAGGGGGGCAGGTGGGCTGTGGGGCTGAGCAAGCCCACCCCTCACCGGGACCCCACTGTGCCCACCCCTGCCCCACCCCCACCTCTCTGTGAGCCTTTTTGCAGGGCAGTGTGGTTAGCGGTTAAAGCCCCACTCGCCCGCTTTCTTCACTGTGAGACCCTGGACAAGTTACCAGGCCCCGCAGCGCCTCAGTGTGCTCATCTGTGAAATGGGGTGGGAGCAGCACAGAGTGCTGACCCAGGACCAGACCAGACCCGCCCGCCCGCGGGGCCTCCCAGCTGAGTGCAGAGACAGACCTTAGACCAGGCTGAGCCCGCACTAGCAGAGGGAGAGGGTGGGGAAGGCCTGAGGGCCCGGAGGCAGCCCTGAGGGGGCTTTGTGGAGCACCAGGGAGCAGCCCCCCTCCATGCCTGCTTCCCGCAGCGGCGGGAGCCCCGGCGGGCGGGCCGTGGGGGGTTTGCTATCCCCGCAGCCCACCCACAGCAAGCGCTCCACACACGCTCAGGAGGCAGGTGCCGGTGGGAGAGCCCAAGGCTTAGCAGCGTTCAGCGGGTGGGAGGGTAAGGACGGGTGAGGAGCCCACCTGCAGGGCAGGCTGGGGGCAGCCACTTACGGTAAAGGTGATGCAGGATGAGCCCGTCGAACATGTCCTCCTCCAGGCTCCGGACCACGATGTGCTCGGGGAGGAGCTCGGCGTTGATCCACTCCATCAGCACCTGCCGGGCCCAGAGGACGGCTGACCGAGGCCACCTCTCACCTGGCCCCTCACCTGGCTCAGTGCTGCCCTCCTCCCGGAGTGCCCCCTGCCACCTGCCAACTCCCACCCATCCTTCAAAGCCAGGGCACACACCACCTCCTCCAGGAAGCCCTCCCTGATCTCCCAGACTGAGTTAGGGGCCTGGTCTCGGCTCCCGAAGACCCTCTGCCTCTCTCTACCACAGACCTGGGCCCTGGGAGGCTGTGGTTTGTCCAGTGCAAGGGGCTGCTGGTGTCCCAGCCCAAACCCTAAACTTGACCAAGTGCTGCATAAAGGCTGCTCCCTCTGCAGCTCTGCTGGAGGCGGGGCTGCCTACCCTGCCTGTGCTCCAGGGGCCAGAAGCAGCGGAGAATTACTGCCTGGTCTCTTAAAGGAAGAAGCCCAAGCCAACCAGGACTTGGTGTATAAACCAGGTTTTCCCGAAGGGACCATGCTGGGCCCCTCTGTGTCCCAGGGCCCGACAGTGGGAAAGGTAGGTGGAGGGAGCAAGAGAACAGGATGGAGGGAGGGAGGGAGGGAAGGAAG